CGAGCAAATCCGATTAAGTTAATTAATCGCCGAAACGTAGAGCGCGAGCGTTTCCGCTTCCGCTCGAATAATCGCTATCACGGCCATAAGTCGCCGACTGGTTTCTCCGCGGTGTAAAAACGCACTTCGCGCATATGTGCCACCCGTGTTCTACATTTTCCCATTTATCTTTCTTTCCAATCTCTAATCAGCCATATTCCTTCCTCTCTCTCTCTTTCTCTCTTTCGCCCTCCATTTTTATTTTCTTTTCCTAGCAGAGTCAAAAATGCGTAGCGCGCAAGAAGCCTAGGTAAATACACACGAGCATGTCCGGCCAACGAACGACGGAACGCATGAGAACGGCGTCGAGCTCTGATCAGTGTTTTTTGTCATGTCAGAACAATGCGTTCGTACAAAAGTTATTCCGACTGTAACAACGCTGCAATACTTTTCCCCCGACGATTTTCTATTTTAAAATCTAATAGAAATTTTAAAAATTAATTAAATAACTGGCCATTGAACCAACGCAGTTCCTGACGCGCGCAATGTATCGACATTTACTTCTTTTTAGTTTTTTATTTGCGAGTTTTACATTAATTAAAATGTAAAACTGAGAAGATGATTTTCACGCCAATAGCTTCTCTATCTCGATTGTCTACTTGGAAGTTTAATTCAAAAAGAGAATTAACACAATATGATGATCCTCATGCCCGAGCAATCGCGTTTCTCATACGATCCAATGAGCAATCGTTGGCCGTGCGAAGCAGCGTTCTGTTTTTAAGCGGCAGCATATACAAAAATCGCTTGCCGAATTCGATGTTGCTGTACGGGAAACTCTTTTCCCGTCGATTGTCCTCTCTCTTTCGCGAGAGACCCGCCGACGCGGAACCGACACTCGCGACGCAACAACAGCAAATTCGCGCGAGCGACTCTTCTTACTTTGATTACAAATAATTCGTTTTGCTTTGTGATTGCTTGCTGCGGCAGCTAAAACCCTTGACTCAAGTTGGGAAGCTCCAAACTCCAGTGGATTCATCGCAACGTTTTTCATCGTGTTTTCATTTGTCTTTCGTTTTTTTTTTATCTCCTTTTTGAAGTTTTCACTTTTTTCTTTTTTGCAGAATGACTTTCGTGGTGTGTTTACGTCCGTAGGTCGGAGTGGCGCGCTTCGTTCCTTTCTTCGTTTTTCTTGTTTTTTTGCCCATTTTTTTATTTCCATTTAGTTCGCGTAATTATCATTAATTAATTAATTAATTAATTAATATATATATAATACTCGTTTATATCGTGTATTCGCTAGAAGTTTTGGTATTAAAGGGAAAGACGCGGGTAGTAGTACTTTGTCCGATGTGTGTGTGTGTGTCGATTTTACGATCTCCTTTTTTTTTTTAAAATGCGTCTGCGTGTAATCGTTTGTTGTATATTTTTTGTTTTTCTTCGTTATTAATCACCTAAAACCTAAATTCAATCGTTTTAGCAATTAGAGAGAAAAATTCGTTCGAAAATAAGCCGAAGGCATTCCCGGTCGTTTATCTCGTTTTTTTTCTTGAGTACGTCGGGATCAGGGCATACCTGAGCTTTAACGAACCGTATCATCGCGAGACGACACGCGAAAGGAGGAGTTATCGATAACTTCTCGAAAGGACTTTGCTCTTGTCTAAACAGGCTGAGCGGCCGAGCAGGACCGAAACATATATAAATATAAATATAAATATATATATATATATATACATATTTCTGAATGTCCCCGCTCTCTCTTCTTTTTTTTTGGTGTCTCTCCTAAATTACGAAGACAATAAGTAAAATGGATCTAAGTTTCACTTCGATATTCAAAAGGAAAAAGCAAAAATACCCGAAGACGAGGTGTGACGTCGGGCGTCTAAGAGAAAAGTATATCGAATATATACTCTAAGTGGAATCACAATTGAAAATACTTTGTTCTCCCTTTCGTGGTGTCATTGAATCACTTAAATGGACATTTTCGTCGATATTATTGTACTTAATTTTATATAATATAACGTATGTTTTTCTCTTTCTCCCTTCTTTCTTTTTTTCTCTTTCTCTTCTTCTCTCTTTCTACGCGTATCTAATTAAATCTATGTACATACTACAGTATGGGCGCACGGAGGAACTCGTCCGCATGTCTTTCCCCGTTTCGTTTCGCTGAATTTACATGTATACTTATTTTTTCTTTCTTTCTTTCTCTCTCTTTCTCTCTTTCTCTCTCTCTCTCTCTCTCTCTCTCTCTCTCTCGCGAGATTGCGTTTACAGCGGCGTTCGTCGCACACTCAACAACATCGAGAACAAAAAGGCGGATGAAAAATTACGCGCAACCTTGTTTATTGAATCCAGCTCTCAAATGGAAGCAAAATACACGAATAATGATTCTGAATTCATCAAATGACTAGAATCACCGAGAAAAGCGTGTGGGTAAGAAGAAAAACCTATTCAAAAGGATTTCAACGATTCGTCGCAAAAAATTAAACGCGCAAGTTATTAAAAGAAAAAAAACGAGAATCGGCGCAAAACAACGACGCGCGATGAAACGCTCTCTTCCCACTCAACTTTCGTTCGTTTCGCATTTGACGCACCGTACCATCTGGGAAATCGATGACAATTCTCTAGAATTCTCTCGGTACTCTTCTTCTCTTGTGTTTTTTTCTTTTTTTTTTTTTTTTTTAATTCTCTGTCTACGCTAATCGAGTTACGATTCTCACGTAATAATACTATTTTATGTACACGAATAATTTACAAAGTTGAACTCGCAGCTACACTCGCGCAGCCTACTGGCAGCCTCGGATCTTTCCCTTCTAATACCAAACGTGTATATAATCTGTTTGTCCTTTGATAAGAGTGTCCTTTGATTCTTAAATGCTGTACAGGAACATTTACTTGCTTAACTCTTTTTATATTTATATATATATATAATCACTCGTTTAATATTTTTTTTTATTTATTATACTTTATATCCGTAGGCTATGTACACATACATATTATATACTTATTTAAATAAGTAAACATATGTATGCATACTTATTTTGTTATATATATCTAAGAGTTTCGTTTAAATAATTACACTATTATCTCAAAAGTGATTGGTTAAAGAATCAACGTATCAACTAAACTTAAAAAAAGGGGAATAATATGTATATAACACGTTATTTTTAGTAAAAAAAAAAAGAGTGCGCGAAGGACCCTGACCCATCATCATGACTAGTTCAAAAGTGCATTTTTCATTTCGTAATGTACATACTTCGGTATGAAAAATTCGATAGATCATATCGTGTCGTTGGTCGGGAAAGTTGGTGTAAGCCTCTCCTGGACGGTAAAATGTCTTTCAAACACATCGCCACATCGTCGCGCGCACGTCGTATATATATGTGTGCAGTAAAATTGTCGGAAGTCTCATCGTCGCTGATCGCTGACTCGGAAAAGAGTTCCATTCTCCTTCTCTCCTCTCTCTTCGAATTCTCTCGAGCGAGCGATCAGTCGTCGAGGACGTTTATTTTTATTTATTTATTTTTTTTTTGAGGAAATCAGGTCCACAAGCGTGCCTTAACGTTAATATTTTTCACGTTTATATATGTATATACCTTGTAAAAAAATATTGATCGGAACATTTCTGTTCTGGACGCGAGAATGTATCGTTTAAGATTTTTTTTAAGCTATTTAAAAAGAAACGAGATTCGCGCGGGACGCGAATTTATTATAATAATATTATGTATTATATGCAGAGAGTGCACGCGTAATCGTAAGAAGATTATTTGAGAAAACTGGCTTCGAGGGTGCAATTAAGCGTGCACAGAAGAGTTTGTCTCTTTCTATCATGAAGAATGCATTTAATGACGAAAGACTCGATCAATGGAAGGGGTCCTTCGCGCGACACATATATATGTATATATATAATATATATAATTCACGGGGGAAACGAACAACTTATCAATTAAAAGTGAATAATTGTCGATATATAATTATAAACGTAACAATTAAAAAATATTTTACGAACAGTCGCGCGCGTTCACGAGGACTGATAAACAACATTAGAAACTTATGCCCTATCGATTATGTATAACCTATAACACGCGATCCAACACGGATCGATTGTTGTTGTTTTTTTCTTTTTTTTCGTTTGTTTCGAAGAGAAGATATAAAACGATCCCCTCTCCATTTCTTTCTTTTCCTTTCTCTATTTTTCTTGCTCTCTCTCTCTCTCTCTCTACCTCTCTTTCGCCGCTTGCTTCTATAGACTCCCAACTCCCCCACAGCGCAAAGTCTCTCCGTCCTTTTTTAGTTAAATATATAATTTTTCTTATCGCATATGGGCATATATATATATATATAAATTTGTCATATACATTTGTCGCGTGCGCGCGAGAGCGCGCGCACATGAGTGTGGTAATTAAATAATGTTTACCCGCCTATATGTATATATATAGAGAATGTGCGACTTTTTTCTTGTTTTTCTTTTATTCGGCGTTGTTCGCCTTGTTTCTCGCTGTAACCAAGTTAATGACAAAGGTCGAAAGTCAAATAGCCGGTCGGTGAACCTTCGTTCTAAGGCTTCCTGCTTCCTCTTGCGCGAGAGAACCGATCGATCCGCAGCTTCTCTTACATTCCGACGCGTACCATTTCCGAACATTACTCCGCGCCCGCTTTCTTTCTCTCTCTCGCTCCTAATCGTCGCCCAATCAATCCGCCGATAACCAATATACGCTCGCTCTCACTCTCTCTCTCTCCTTCACGCGAAATTGTTGCACCCTCTCGCAATATATATGCATACAATTATACATATGTATTTCCCTCCATCTCGTATATGTATATATACACACACGTTTACATTATTATTCGTTAAAAAACAAAATATAATTGAGATTTGTTAAATACGAGTATAAAAAATTTCCTTATGCGTTTTCTCTCTTTCTCTCTTTCTCTCACCGCGTTCTCTTTTACATATTATATATCGTGTAACCTCTCGTGTATAAATTAATTTCTTCCCTCATTTCGTCTCTCGGTGATATTATTATTTTTTTCTTTCTTTTTCTTTATCGTCGCGTTTCTACATTCTTATGTTTTTTTTTACGTTTCTCTTTCTCCTCAGTAATCAACGGTTTCTTTCGTTTCGTTTCGTCGTGTCGATTCACGACCCCTAGCTAGTCTACTTACGGTACAATATTACGATTTCTCTCACACACGCCGGAATCTCGCGTGAATATATATATATATATATATATATAATTATATATATATGTATATTATGTATAATATTTATACGCCATTATAGAACAATATATTTCGAGACATTCTCTTTTTCTTTCTCTCTCTCTCTCTCTTCGGGTTTTCTCGTATCTTCGTGTTGCGAACGCGCATCGCACGTCACGGCGAATCAAGACACTGAACGCGTGCGGTGAGTCAAGGGAAAAGGAAGAAAATGATAGAGTTAAGCAGCTTTCTCGAACACAAACGCGGAGAGTATAAAATTTCTTATTAATATTAAACACGCGAGATGTATTTTAGAAACAAAACGAACATCTTACTCTCGCAATGAACCAAGACGAACAACGTGAGGTAACACTTGAGATTCCTTTTTTCGTAAAATGATGTTACTTAGTAAAATGATGCTACTTTCATTAATCTCCTCTCCGATATATTTATTATACGCGTACACAACAAAGAGAGCAGTCCGAGGGAATAAAAAAAAATCACACTCTCTTTTTTCCATGTTTCACTCCCGAGAAAGCTGCCTTCATCGATCGCCGATCAAGATCGAAAAAGGGAGAGCTCCGCTGCGTCGCGGAAACTCGAACAACGGTGAATCGCGAGTAATTGTTCGCTAACTCGCTCGATCGCGAGAAGAATGGAGTCCCGACGTATTCGCGTTTGACGTTCATCCGTAGGGACGAAACGTCGCTCGTTGTTCTCCCCCGTCGCAGACTGTCTTCTTCGTGACACGAGCAGGTTATCGAGAAAAAAAACAGAAGGAAATCGTGGAAGTTGAAAGAGTCCGGCTTAGCCGCGCGACTCGCGTCTGCGATTCGTAAGGAAGCCAAATATGTAAAAGTCGAAAGGAAATAAAGACGAGGAAGACTTTGTTTACTAGCTCAATGTGTCTGTAACAAATATTCCGATGATTCTACAACCCCTGCTGTTGCGCCGGGATTCGCAAGCGTCGATTTTTCAACCTCCACGACCGCCTGTCAGATCATTTTCTTTCAGTTTCGGCGTTTCCTCTTCACGCAACTTTGATAAATATAAAAAAATCTTTGACATACACACACACATACATACACACACATTCTCTCTCTCTCTCTTTGTATATTTTCTTCCTTCCCTTTTCGACTTCGCACGGAAATCTCATCGGTACCGTATCCCTCCTGCTTCTCGCTTCCGAGGGTGTTGCTTCTCCGTCGTCACGCGCGTTCGCACATTCGTGCGTTGCGAGCGCGCACAGATGTCGGAGAAGAGTGTCGCGAAGGAATATCGGCGCGATGTTAAACCTAAATCGAACAAGACGGACGAAGAGACATTTTTCTTCCCGCTCGCTTTTCGCTCTCGCCCGGATCGTCGCTGCTGATGTCGCTTCGACGCACAATCTCTCGACAGTGCACGGAGGATGCGTGTTCGCGCAGAAGAGCTCATCAGATCCATCTTCCTCTCTCGCTTCCCCGCGGCGCGTTAGTCGCTGGCGACAGCAACCCTTAGGACGAGGCAGATGATGCGATCGCCATCAGAGGCGCCGGTGGTAATGCGACCGGTATGTGGTAATATTTACACTGGGGTCGCAAGCACGCGCCCTTTACTGCGTCCCTGCACACCGTTACGCGGTTCTCGATCACTTCCACGTTTCCTGAAAATTGAGGAAACAAAAGAAAAAACGATCGAATTAGTAGATGCATCATTAAAACATACATCTCAGATATTGATCAATTTTTGTGTTTTAACTAGACACTGTTTCAATATAAATAAGTTGTGCGAGCAATTAAAAGTTGAAATGTGTTCTTCCCCAGCAAAGTTGTAGAATAAATAAACTTCGAGTCAAACGCGCGTTTGATTTTATTACCGAAATAATTATTTTAGCAAGTAACTACGTGTACATCAACGGAAAAAGTTTTGCTGGAATTGCAAAAAGATTAATTACTATGCAGCCAGCAAGAACCATTTTTACGGCCATCGCTATGCGATTCGCATTGTTTGAATTGTCTGAATACAACGCGTAAATATTCGCGATCGTTCGGCAGCATCAAAGGGAGTTCATGCAAATCTGCAGCGATAACCGTCGTACACATTTTATCGTCCGCGATTGATTGTGTAAAAAGCATCGCTAATTGTGTTTCGCAAGGCGCGCACCTTTTCTTTTCCTGTCTCGAGCGATCCGATCGGTCGCTCATTATCGCGAGCAGAAAACCTAATTGACGACGGGTCGACAAAAGGAGAGATTTGCGTTACATCGTTCGCGTGCTAAACGCGAAAGCGAAGCTGCATCGTAACGGTGACATTTAATAAACGCGGCGGGAGGATAATAAAGGCGATCCCGAGGATCTCGCGCGCGTTGTCACGGGCGGAAGTAAAATAATAAAAAAACGTCGGACCGACAATCGGACTTCCGAGCGATAAAAACCGTGAATGATTTATTACCGCGTACTTGCGCGACGCGTCGCCACGGAATTGGCAAATTCGTCGCGAACCAAAACGGACGAAATGAAAGACAAGTCGCGTAATCGCCGTTGGCTGCTGTCCGCGCGGCGATAGTTCCGTCGCGCTCAGGAATTTCAATAGTCGAATTTCTGGCGTCGCTCGTGATACGCTTATTTTACCGAAAATCTTGTTACGCTTGACCGATCCGCGCGTGTGACCGAGAACAGAGATTCGAAAATCGCCGGAACTCGCGCTCGGTGAATATCAATCGGGTACCGCGATATCGGTTTCAATGCGTTCTCGCTTCGTAATTCAGAATTAAATGTGATCCTGTGCGAGCAAGATTACGCTTTAAACTTCCGATGATTGAAGTAACGATTGTAGGAAAGTGTCAAATAATATATATGGAAGTACGTGATTTGCTATCAAAAATTAATATTTTCTTTTCTCATTCTCCAGAATTTAATCTCAACTCACCGTCGGTGAGATGAATAAACTTGCAGGCGGGACGGTTGCACACTTGACGATTAAAATCTTGGCACACCGGGAGGGTGTCCAGTAACTGAAAGAAAATGTGCCAGATACTCTTATAGCAGATAAGATCGGCAAGTGGTGTAGGATTTGCAAAAAGACTTATGGAATCACAAACACACACTCACACGCTGTTCACTCTCACAGAATTCGCGCATTCAATCATGTTCCACGCGCTGTCTTCCCATTCGCTCTGCAGGACTGCTTAAAAATACCGATACCCGATAATTTAAGAAGTTTCGAAAAAGAATCGTCGAAACTAATTGATCTGCAAGCAAAATTTTAACGAAAAGCACACACATCTATTCTAAAAAAAATATCAAGAGGTACGTGCTGTGCTTTCACACATTATCGGGTGTCCTGGTACATTTCTGAGCATCCCTACTCTCTCACCGAACTCATTCACGCCATACACTCTAGATTTTTCAGTGTTAGAGCATATCCACGGTTTATTACATGCTCTAGAAAATCGATTTGTATATATATATACGGATATTAATTAATTGCTACTGATGTGCGAATAATCAGCGCGATCGCATATCGATACATCCGATTTGAATTTATCTCCGGCAAGATTTGACATCATTATTCAGTCGAAAAGCGAAGGATGATTCACATGAACATTAAAAATCGCCAAGTATTCGCACATGTCGAATTAAGTGGTAAATTTGCAGTAGAACTTATTGTTTTCAAACAAGACATTTCCTATTTTATGGTATTATTGTATCTTGTAGTGTGAAAAGTAAAAAACCAACTGACTGATCTCTCGACTGCAAGGGAGTCTTGCGTCTCAATTTGTGTTGAGTCTGAGACTGAGATTTACACTTTTGCCGGGATTTTTTGCAAAAAAAATTGGCTCGACCAAAAATGAGGGAAGTTATTTTATCAACGCGAACCGGTTGTGTGCGAGCGACACTTTCTCCTTACGCTAATCTTCGCGACGTTCCGATAAGAATGTGTGCAAGGAGCGCGCCTAGAAATGAGGATCTTTTTGATTCGCAAATTTCGTCGAAAAATCCAGAAACTCTAAAATTTACATTTCTCTCTCTACTTGAAATTACTCCTCTTTTTGTTAGCGCGCGCGCGCGCGCGCGTCTCACAAGCTGGCGAGCAGAATTTGCGAATCAAGTGTGGAAACCCTCTTCTCAGCGGGCCATTCAGCACAATGACTAGACTGAAATTTTAGCGTTTACAACAAAATACCGGCGAGAGCAACAGAGAGATATTCCCCCCTTCCCACCATCACACTTTCTTTCCTCCCTTCGTTGCTCCCGAAAACGATGCTCGACTACGCAAAATGTGAACCCGAGGTTTTTGCGAGATAGCGGCGACAATTACATGTACAAAATGTGTGTATGTATATATATAATATGAGCGTATCATCACACACGCGATTGCGTACTATACATATATATGTCATTAGGTGAAAAAGTCGCGGTGAAAAAGTCGCGGCAATTTCGCAATCGCATTACAAGCGAGGCAATATATTGATTTTTATCGCGAGGTATAATAATAATAATAATAATAATAATTTTCACATTGAACAAACGAAAGCGAAATAGAGAAGAAAAGAGATACATGTATGTAAAATGCGAGTCGCAGAACATCGGAAAATTAAAGGAACTCAAGTGAAGCGGCAAAACTCCACCCAAAGAGCTACAGCTACTGTATATAATGTATATTTGTTCCTTTTTTTATTTACCCATCGGCATGAAAAGATTGTATATATATATGCATATTATATGTACACACACACGGAAAAAACACACACGTACACTCGTATCTATAGGAGAAATCATATGTGTTTTGTATATATTCGAAATATATAAGAGAGACAAATGCAGCAAATAGATTAAACATCAAATTCCAGAGAGAGTAATGGAATATCTCGTGTTAGCAAAACGTTAGGTTTCAAAAGCATTAACAACCTACCAGAGAATACAGATATAATATATGGGGGAGAGAAAAAAACCAAAAATAATAACATGAAAGAAAAAAATGTCATTAAAAGAAATAAAGTATTATCTCGCGCTAAAAGAATAGTCGAAGGCTTATCATAGAAGCGTGCAAAATATATGAAAAAAACATATATCACGAAAAAACAAAAATCAAAAAAAAAAAAAAATCTAAATAAAGATAAATGTCACAAATTGCGTCGCCAATGTAACTATCGAAAAATCTCGAGCCAAAAAAAACACGTCCCGCGCACACTCGTAAAATGATCGGGATTTAACATGAAAATTCGAACATAGAAAAAGGATTGTTGTCAGTGACACGCAGAGAAATGAGAGTGTAAAGAATAATAAACGATCATAATAGCATTAATAGCGACAATAATGGTAATCATAATAATAATAACGCTAGTATATATATATAGTGACGTAATAATATTGTAATCATATTATAATAAATAATTCTTGCAACTGGCGTAAGAGAGAACTCGCTACGAACACAGAGTCTGGTCATGCAAATAATGGCCCGGGAGAAGGGGGATCGTTTTGCTTGGGTGATCCGGTGTTTTTGGAAAAAAAAAATCGATCGCGCCGAATTCAAGTAGGATAAGAACGAAATATCGAAGCGTCGATATCACTCCTCTGACAAATCAGCGATACGGTGTCATCACCCAAGCGTTAGTGTGCTGCCGGAAGCCGGCGCGCCGTCGATTTCGGTTCGCTCGCGTGAGAACGTCAGGACCCTCCCCTTTCCGAAACACACACATCCACTCACTACTAAAGCTACGTAAAAAAGAAGGAAGTTCCATCCGAGGACGACCCACGTTAGGCGAACCGAAGCGACGAGGGCGGCCGCAAGAGGGGGATTGTTGGGGGTAGAAATTGGATAGTCAGCAGTTATCGGCAATATCGTAATATAATGGATAATGGGATGTCGTAAAGCCGTCAAATTAATAATATTCTACTGCAAATATAAGTTCAACACTATATCAACTGCGACTCCGCAACCATAACGACAGAGCTGGTCAAGTGTGTTGTAGGATAACAAGAGATTGCTTGACAGAGAAAAAAAAACAAAACGCGCGACGATCGGAATCATTCATCGTCCGATCGCGAGTGAGATGGGAAAAGCTTTTTGTCAAATGAAAGAGAGATGATGAGATTTTTGGTTCATCGCGCCTCAAGCTCGCGCGCGCTTCTTTACGTGTCCATGTATTCTATATTCTACGCCTCACAGTCGTCAAAGTTAATTGCGTCGAAAGCAATCAGTGCCAAGCGTAAGAGACACTCCGTGTCGTCGTTCTCTGACCAGGTAACAAGCGAAAAAAAAACAAAAAATGAGCAATTCGATCAAAAGCTGCGTGTACGTTTGCTCAAAATTCGTGAAATGTTTCAAACTCTTGAGTCGGGATCGGATTGAAAAAAATCTCGTTCGTTAAACGTCGGTTCACTTTGATCTTTTGACACAGTAGCATTACTTCTCGCAGCTGTTTGCTAATTCAAATAGCAAGAAATACAAATACGCATGTTGAACACTTTGAAGAAGTGTTGTACGTTTTTTTTCGTCCGCGAGCTGTCTTTTCCGCAAAAAGTTTTTTGAATCTACGTCGAAAATCACGCCATTGTCATTACATTGAATATCTCGTCGATTTTTTTTCATCGAGTTTTCAAGATATCACGCGTTTGGCAATCAGATATTTACGAATCGTAGAGTGAACTTTGACGCGATGCATGCGACGCAAACCAGGGGAGCATTATGTTATTTATATAAATAAAATTTTATATATTATATATTTTATTTAATATAATATATGATATATATATATATTTTACATATATATGTAACTATAAAATTTTCCAAAAAAAGCCAAAGTTTTAGAACTCACGTCTGACACAACTCGAAGACTCGGATGACTTTTATATAAAAGTAATTATAAATTCTCGACGTTTCACTGACATATAAGGAACAAAATGACAAATGTTACGAACCATTGCGTCGAATAAAAGCTTCATGCTCCCTAGTTGTTGCGGCACGCGCTTTTCCTCCGGTGTCAACGGTGGATGTGATATTAATGTATGCATGCAATTATATATAAACACGCCCGACACTCGTATAACAACTGTATGGTCCTCAATCGTATAATTGCTACTTGCGATAAGATGCACTGCGAGAGAGAAAAAAATAAACAAATAGATACTGAAGCGTACAAAGATGGAAGTTGCTCTCACAGAGACGTAGGCATTAGATTCAAGTCGTATGTAACGGATACAAAAAAAAGAAATGTTCAAGAGACATGTCCCGACAATATATCCTTCATCCACAAATAACGCGCAACGTTAATCAGACAAGCGGTTTCAAGACAATGGCATGATAGATATATAATATGTATATAATATATATATATATAGATACATGGCAAACCGTTTAATGGCAAATAGTACTAATCATACTAAATTACTGTATAAGAAGCGTGCATCTCTTTCTTCGTGAAATACAGGATTGTCGTGTGTGTGTGTGCAATGTACGTATGTGTTGCGTTTACGTTTGTATGTCCTCTGTGTGTAATAAAAAAGGGAAACGAGGGAAACGAAGGTGACGACAACGCGCGCTTTCGAAGTAGCATAATATATAATATAATTATTGGTATAATAATATAATAGACAAACACCAGATAAGGCAGTGGTTATTCGCAGTTATAGTTGCGGTGAGCAGTCGTGAGGGAGATGCCCCCGAAAGCTACGTGTTAGCCAAAGTTGGCCGAGAGATTGCGGATTACAAACGGGTTTCGCTCTTCAACAAATTAATTACAAACGTGACACGTATCTGAAAAAAAGTGCGCGTGAAAGTCGCAAATTAATCGCAAGAGCGACACCCGCGATCGTCCTTCTCCCTCGTTAACTTTGAAGGTTAGCAGCAATAAAAGTTCGAGTTTGCATCGGGGCGCCGTGGTTAATTTCTAATTAGAAAATTAGCGACCGAAATTTCTCTGATTTAGCGAGAAGAGAATGAGTGTGACATCGCGTGCGAGAAACTGTCGTTTGTGAAAATGAACAGAACGAATTTGTCGAATTTTGATTA